AAACTTCTCGTCCTTCGTCTTTGTCCTTGCAGTCATCCGGGGTGGCTTGGCTCTCGTCGTTCTGGATATCACTTCTCTGGCCAATCCCAACACTTCGTTGTGGGTCCCCTGTCGCCCGGGGTGCCCATCCAGATTTTCTTCCACGCGCATCGTGTCACAGACATGGATTTTGCAGAACAATTGTCCCTCCCTCAAGGCAAAAGCTTCAGCCCCGAGGCATGACGCGTGATGCACACATTGTCACCGTCTGGAAGAGCGTACCGTAGACAAATGTGTGTCTCTGGTGGGACAACTAGCCTTTGTTGTTCCTGACCAGTGGCGGCAGCGCTGATCCCGAGCGGATTGTTCGGCGCGAGGGTGCCCAACAAGTCGTAGATCCTGATGGGCGGCGTAGACCGCCACGATCAGCTGAGGCTTCAACGGTACTCGTTGCAGCTGTCCAACCAGCGGATCAAGTACTAACAGTCACTGTTCTACGGGCCGGTCGGTATAGATGTCGTCAACGCCCATATCATTTACAGGGAGCTCCACTAGCGCCGCCAGCAGCCCACCCAGTTTAGTCAGGTCCAGTTTCTCGAGGAGCTGCATCTGCACCTTCTCCAGTACACCGATGCGAACGTGGTGCAGCCCGCAGATGTGGCGCTGAAATCGCTGACGCAGACACCGCCGTCGCGCATCCAGACTGACCATGTCACGGTCGTGGTCAACGAGTGACAGACGTTGAAGTAGAGCACCAGCTCGGGGCACTCTAAGCGGTGGCAGCACTCCTTCAAAGTGTGCAGTCTACTCCGCGGAGAACGCAAGTGCGGCTACTAGATTCCGTTCTACTGTGCGGGGTGCAGCGGTGGCGACAAGCGCGTATACCACTACACGCGCGAGGTGGAGCGTCAAGTGTGCACTGTTGATCTGCTTTGACTTATGGCATAGTGGGAGCGCAGTCATTCTCAAGGCCTGGCGCTCTCGATGGCAAAAATACTTATCGGTGGCGGAGCTTACTGCCGCAGTGATGAAGACGTGGGACGCTGTTAGAATGGATGAAGAAACCGTGCTAATGGACTCAATGCCCAGGCGTTGCTTTCAGGTGACCGAGAAGCTCGGCGATACCATCTCGTATTAGGATGTTACCAGGACTCACTTCCCATACAAATTCCAATAAACTACTGTTCATAGCTTTCGTCGCGGTGCTTATTCGAGTTATCTCTAGAGGAGCCTGCAGACGCGTTGCAATTGACCGGCTCTTGCCACAAGCTAGCAGTCGTAAAATACCATAGGAGCGTCATATCTAAGTAGCGTCCTCAGATTCCCATTAGTTACAGAGATATGAACACCTACACAGGTGTCCATATGTTATTGTTGTGGACTGTATGTGGCAAGACTGATTAAATAGAAAGATCCAGGAGGCAACGGAATCGTTCTAGTAATTATATGTGTACACGTACGGGGGGGGGGGGGGGGAGGGGATGGCGTTTGCCTCCTCACTCCGTTAATTCATCTATTTGTAGCAATATCAACCATGACCGCCTCACGGCACTGCGATGCAGGAAAAGCTATGGTTTTTCTCATAAATTATTTTCACGAAAGACGATTCGATAACCAATCGATGTTAATAGACATTGAGAAAACATGTGTGGAACTCGCCATATTAACGCGGAACACCTCAATTTTGTATTGACAAGAATAGTGTACGAAACATAAGCCAATTAACCCACCATTATAAAAAAATAAAATTTATAACAATTTACAATATTTGGCCCAGTTTAGGACATTACTAGTAATCCCATATAAAGAACATAGCCGCGTTGTCGGTAAGGTAAATTGCAATTTAGTAGCTTTGTCAGTTTAGTAGCAGCTCGATTTTCAACCAGTACCGACAAAATGTCTACTCAATTCCAGATGTGATTTGCCAAAACTGAAACAGATGATTTTGTGTAAAAACCTGAAGTATTTAATATCAAGTCAAGCCATTTCCCGCCACTTTCAGAACACCAGTTCTCATTCTCCATGCAATGGGAAAATTTCGCGCGAACTACACCGAAGCAGAGTTGGACTCGACTCGGCCGTTCAAGCGGTGCTCGCTGGGGCTGCTGCAAAAACGACCAATGAGAACAGCAACATACCGCACAGTACTCTAAAATAATACGCGGCTGCAGCACGAAAAGTAGCCCTCGACAGCCAAAATGCCGTGGTCTACCACCTCTGTAACCAGTAGAAGCTGAAGAAAGTCTCTTGGATCGTTGGGCGTCAACAGATTGACCATCCTGTCAGCCGCAAAGACTTTCTTGAGAAGGCGAAGCAAGTTGCACAACTGGGTTTTGGGCTGCCGATGAGGGAAGGATAGCTGCGTCGATTCATGGAGCGTCACCTCTCACTCACCATCAGGACTTTTCAGTCTGTGTCTAAGTTCCGTAACGATGTGGAGGAGCAAGATCTGTCGGCATTGTTCTCGTCATTGGAAAAGGTCGTAATCGAGCATGACATCGGTGCCTCACGTGTCTTTAGTGTTGGCGAGACTGCTATCAAAATTATGAGGGAGCATGAGATCCTTT